CCGAACAATAAATCATATGGCCTTTACTCTTGTCCTACACAACTTCTTAAATGCTCTTGTGACATAATATCTCCTGTCCTTGCAAAATTTTTTAACAGTTCTGTCAATCTAGGGGCATACCCATCTAAACTGAAAATGTCCAAAGTTATACCCGTCTACAAAACTGATGATGAAACAGATGCCCGCAACTATAGACCTATTTCATTACTGTCTAACGTCAACAGGATTTTTGAAAAATTATGTACAATAGAGTGAAAGTTTCCATAGAAAAACACCAAATATTATCTTCATCCCAATATGGCTTTCGCCAAGCACATTCAACTGAACATGCTATACTTGACATGGTGGAATCCATCATTACCAAGATGGATAAAAGACTTTTTTCCTGTGGAGAGTTCATCGAACTTAAGAAAGCTTTTGACACGGTGGACCATAAAATATTACTTGAAAAACTTAATTATTAGGGCTTCCGAGGTATTGTCAATCAGTGGTTTTCCTCATATTTAACTAATCGTACCCAAACAACTGAGATTAACTCGTATATTTTGGACAAAGAAGTAGTTAGCTGTGGCGTACCCCTTGGGTCCGTTTTAGGGCCACTTCTCTTTTTGCTATATGTCAATGATATACAATATTGCTCCAGGAAACTTGATGTTTTTCTTTTTGCAGATGATACTAATGTCCTATACTCTCACAAAAATCTCAAGGCATTGGAATTAATTGTAAATATTGAATTGAACAAACTATTCAATTGGCTAACCGCAAATAAACTTACGCTTCACGCTGAGAAAGAAATCATACTTTGTTATTCAGTTTTTCACCCATACCAAAAAAAACTTAATTACCTGCCACAAATTTATATTTTTGTCAATGAAGAAAATAAGAACGTTACTCTTGAGCATAAGAATTGCATTAAATATCTTGGGTTACTGATTGATGAGAATCTAAGTTGGAAAAACCATATCTAAACCCTTGCAACAAAAGTAAAAATGTCGGTCTAATTGCGAAGCTAAGACATTTAGTACCTAATCGAACTCTTCTTGATATTTATAAATCCCTCATTGTACCTTTTATAACGTATGGATTAACTTCTTGGTGAACTGCATCTAAGACCTTGTTAAATAGTTTTCTTGTCTTACAAAAACGCGTACTCCGTCTTATCCACTTTGCCCCAGTAAGGGAGCATGCAATACCCTTTTTTTTTCAAGCAAAACTTCTTCCACTAGAATTCCAATATTATGAAAAAATTGCTGATCTAATGTACGAAAGCAATACTACTTCTGCACCAAGTAATATTTCGAATTTTTTCTCTAAAATTTCCAGCGTTCACTGTTATGGCGCACGTTCATCAACGTCTGAGCATTTTTATAATAAAAAATCTGCGCTTAATGCTCCGCAAAGTAAAGCTTTTTTCACGTGTTGGCGTTAAAATCTGGAATGGGATACCAATTAGTCTTAAAAACTTATCCAAGAACTCTTTTAAAAAATCCATTTGAACAAAATTAATCGAAATTCTGGAAACTGAAAACTCCTATGTTGAAATAGGTACTCTAATTAATAAGATGAAAGGTTAACTCCTAACTGTTATTATGTTTAGTCTGTAGTCGACTCCTAAAGCGAAATAGATACTTTAATTAATACTTGAAGAAAGGTTAATTTCTAACTGTAATTATATTTAGTCTCTAGTCTCTTTAGTCTGTAGTTTTCCTCTTTTCCTCTGTCATGTTGTAATTGTATGTGAATATTATTATATAAAATGGTGTAAAATCACTTTTTAATTGTCTGGCTTGCCGCAACTAGCTCTTCCCTATTTGCAAGCCAGTCTAGTAATAACCACCTGATATTTACTTGGAAATAAACTTCAAACTTCAAACTTCAAAATAAGTCTTATCAAAGACTGTGAAGAAACTCAGGGCTCTGAACGAAAACTCTTACTTTAAACATTCTGCTCCATGTGGAGCTCGAAAAAAAGGTCCCGTATGTAGTCAATAGCATCACGTGTTGTGTAACGCAAACTAAAGTACAAGGATGGCGGTACATTTAGGATGCAAAAGGGTTAAACGTTAAAGAAGAAAGGAGCTAGTTAAAATTTTCAGAGCTAATGTGTTACGGGAAAATTTAGTGATTTTTCCCTATGGATGTTTAAGCATATTTATTCGTTGTTTTCGGAATTTTAGCGTTCACAAGTCATTCAAGTTTCTTTCATTGCGATGTTTTAAAAAGATAAAAAGCCACAAGTAAATTTTCAATAGCCAAGTCAAATTATACAGCTGCATCTCGGTACTTTTCTTGTTCAATTCTAGTGAAAATTTAGGCAAATATAAGTGTTGATTGTCTTTCTGGCAAAATTAGCTCTCATGGTTGTTGGCAGCTGAGTTTATTATTCGTGATTTTAATTTCCTTTCATACTGTAGTTTCCACACCAACCTTGCATAGATGAGCGGAAGCTTTTAATTACTTTTCCACTCATATTCCTAAGCTGCGCTACTGCAATTAAGATAGTACATTTTCTATACCAGAGCAGTAAATTCTCACCTTATTTTCCTATTTTTAATGACCTCCAGTTTCATGCATCCGTCCTTTTAATCTGAAATTCTTTTCGTCGTAGAGACAGTTGGGAATATAGTTTTCGTTTAACTTCAAAGAGATCTTTACCGCTTCTTTTGTTATGCTGTTCAAATATGGTCGATTTGGATAACAATAGCACTTCACACCATCTATTTGAAAAGGCAGCTACCTTGTACAGTTTAGATGATTGCTAAACTGAGGAGGCTCGAGATCTTGTCCCATGCTGGTCTGACCTAGAATAAAAGTTTCCTGTGGAACCAAAAGATTTTCTCATCCTTGACGTCCGTACAAACTCGCTCGAAGTAGATCTCAGCATACCAGAAAATCGTGAGGAGTTTCTGTTCTCGCAAGCCGAGTGGTCTCTACCGAGTTATTTCCCCCAGTTATTATCGTTCCGTCCGCGAAAGTTCAATTTACCAATTTGGACGCGAAAACCTATCGTCACAAATGATATCTTTGAAATCTGTTAATTGCAAAAAAAAAAAAAACATTAAGTCTTAATCTCGATTGCTTTCCAAAAGCCAGCTTTATTAACTGAGTTTTCTTCAAATGGGAAGAGAGGGTGAAACCTTAAGCGAGGGTAAGCAGCTCTCTAGTATCGACATCTTTTCCTCTGTTTTCTACGCACTAACATTTCCTTCCTGCCCTGTATCCTTTCCTCAGAGCTTCCAAAATGAAACATTTCAGTTTGACGACCAGTCACTATCCATCACCTGGGAAAAAGTGATCCGATAACGTTTTGGGATGATGATACGATTCAAAGTAATTGGCAAAAGATTAGACGCAAAGAAACCCTACTTTGTCTTTACGGAAATGTATCAACTTTCAATAAAATTATAGATTATGAGGACTTTGGCCCTGAGACTCACAAGATACAGACCGAATAAGGAATGTAGGGGTATTCAGTTTTTCGAAAGTAATTTCCCGTGATGGTCGCCCACATAAAGGGTATTAATAAAATTTTGACAAGAACCGGTAACACTTGTAGTATTGGTCAAACAAAGCAATTAATGACAGTCAGAGCTTTGTTGACTTTCATCGCCTCAGAAATAGATGTAGCACCGGCATCACTATTCTGATTGTACAACAAATACAAACTTGTCAGAGTCTTCTTGCTTTTCATTGCCCCTGTATTAGATGCAGCACTTTCATCACTGATCTGATTGGACAACAAATCCAAATTGGTCAGAGTCCTGCTGACTTTGTTTGCCTTGGCAATAACAGTTGCACAGCATCAATTATCTGATTCTTAGATCAAACCAATTTCGTCAGAGTCGTGTTGACTTTGATTGCCTCAGCAATAGATGTAGAACCGCCATTACTGATCTCATTACTAGACAAATCCAAATTGGTCAGGGTCTTGTTAACTTTGATTGCCTCAGCAATAGATGTAGCACCGCCATCACTGATCTCATTACTAGACAAATCCAAATTGGTCAGAGTCTCGTTGACTTTGATTACCTCAGCAATAGATGTAGCACCGACATCCATAATCTCATTACGAGACAAATTCAAATTGGTCAGAGTCTTGCTAACGTTGATTGCCTCGGCAATAGATGTAGCACCACTATCCCTGATCTCATTTCTAGACAAGTTCAAATTGGTCAGAGTCTTATTGACTTTGATTGCCTCAGCAATAGGTGTAGCACCACCATCACTTATCTCATTACTAGACAAATTTAAATTGGTCAAAGTCTTGTTGAATTTGACTGCCTCAGGAATAGATGTAGCACCACAATTACTGATCTGATTTCTACTCAAATCCAAATCGGTCAGAGTCTTGTTGACTCTGATTGCCTCAGCAAAAGATGTGGCACCGCCATCACTGATTTCATTACTAGGCAATTCCAAATTGGTCAGAGTTTTGTTGACTTTGATTGCCTCAGCAATAGATGAAGCACCGCCACCACTGATCTCATTGCTAGAGAGATCCAAATTGGTCAGAGTCTTATTGACTTTGATTGCCTCAGCAATAGATGAAGCACCGCCACCACTGATCTCATTAGTAGAGAGATCCGAATTGGTCAGACTCTTATTGACTTTGATTGCCTCAGCAACGGATGTAGAACCGTCATCACTAATCTCATTACTAGACAAGTTCAAATTGGTCAAAGTCTTGCTGAATTTGATTGCCTCAGCAATAGAGGTAGCACCTACATCACTGATCTCATTACTAAGTAAATCCAAATTACCCAGAGTCTTGTTGACTTTAATTGCCTCAGCAATTGAGGTAGCGCCGCCATTACTGATCGTACTACTAGACAAATCCAAATCGGTCAGAGTACTGTTGACTTTGATTGACTCAGCAATAGATGTGGCACGGCCATCACTGATGTGATTATTAGACAAATTCAAATTGGTCAGAGTCTGGTTGACTTTGATTGCCTCAGCAATAGATGAAGCACCGTCATCATTGATCTGATTATTAGACAAATCCAAACTGGTCAGAGTCTTGTTGACTTTGATTGCCTCAGTAATAGACGGAGCACCGCCATCACTGATCTGATTTCTACACAAAGTCAAATTGGTCAGAATCTTGTTGACTTTGATTGCCTCAGCAATAGATGAAGCACCGTCATCACTGATCTGATTATTAGACAAATCGAAATTGGTCAGAGTCTTGTTGACTTTGATTGCCTCAGCAACGGATGAAGCACCGCCATCACTGACCTGATTTCTACACAAATTCAAATTGGTCAGGGTCTTGTTGACTTTGATTGACTCAGCAATAGATGTAGCCCTGCCATCAGTTAGATGATTACTAGAGAAATCCAAATTGGTCAGAGTCTTGTTGACTTTGATTACCTCAGCAATAGATGTAGCACCGCCATCACAGATGCGATTTCTATACAAATTCAAATTGGTCAGAGTCTTGTTAACTTTGATTGCCTCAGCAATAAAGGTAGCATCACCATCACTGATCTCATTAGTCGACAAGTTCAAGTTGGTCAGAGTCTTGTTGACTTTCATTGCTTCAGCAATAGATGTAGCACCGCCATTACTGATCTCATGAGTAGACAAATTCAAATTGGTCAGAGTCTTGTTGACTTTGATTGCCTCAGCAATAGATGTAGCACTGCTATCACTGATCTGATTTGTACAGAAATCGGGATTGGACAGACTCTTGCTAACTTTGATTGCCTCAAAAATAGATATAGCTGTAGGAAAACTTACCTGATCGTCAAATAAACCCAAATTGGTCAGGGACTTGTTCACTTTGATTGCCTCAGCAATAGATGTAGCACCGCAGTCACTGATCTTATTACTGGACAAATCCAAATTTGTCAAGGTCTTGTTGACTTTCATCGCCTCAGCAATAGATGTAGCACCACCATCACTGATCTCACCACCAAACAAGTTCAAATTGGTCAGAGTCTTGTTGACTGTCATTTCCTCAGCAATAGATGTAGCACCGTCATCACTGATCTTATTCCTAGACAAATTCAAATTGGTCATAGTCTAATTGACTTTCACTGCCTCAGCAATAGATGTAGCACTGCCATCACCGATCTCATTACTAGATAAATTCAAGTTGGTAAGAGTCTTGTTAGCCTCGATTGCCTCAGCAATAGATGTAGCACCGCCATCACTGATCTCGTTACTATACAAATTCAAATTGGTCACAGTCTTGTTAAATTTGATTGCCTCGGCAATGAACATAGCACCGCTATCACTGATCGCATTACTAGACAAATTCAAACTGGTCACAGTCTTGTTAGCTATGATTGCCTCAGCAAAAGATATAGCACTGTCATCACTAATCTCATTAATAGACAAATTCAAATTGGTCAGAGTCTTGTTAACTTTGATTACCTCAGCAATAGATGCGGCACCGCCATCACTGATCTCATTAGCAGACAAATTAAAATTGGTCAGAGTCTTGTTAACTTTATAATTCGGATATATCAACAAAGTTGAAATGGTAAATTGGCCACCGTAACGATTACAAAAGCTGACGTTTCGAGCGTTAGCCCTTCGTCGGAGCGAAAGAATTTGGTCAAAGTCTTCGCTCCGACAAAGGGCTAACGCTCGAAACGTCAGCTTTTTTAATCGTTACGGTGGCCAATTTACCATTTCAACTTTGTTGATATATCCAAATTATTTCGTTATCCCCACCGACGCAGCCCCAAACAGTTTCTTTCGAAACTATCAGCCTTTATTTTCTTGTTAACTTTAATTGCGAGAGCAAAAGATGTAGCACCGCCAGCACTGATCTCATTACTATCCAAACTCAAATTGGTCAGTCTTGTTGACTTTGATTGCCTCACCTATAAATGTAGCACTGCCACCACTGATCTCATTATCAGAAAAATCTAAATTGGTCAGTCTTGTTGACTTTGATCGCCTCAGCAATAAAAGTAGCACCGTAACATCTGATCTCATTTTAAGACAAATCTAAATTGGTCAGAGTCTTGTTGACTTTGATTGCCTCTGCAATAAATAGAGGACCGCCATTACTGATCTGATTATTAGACAAATCTAAATTGGTCAAAGTCTTGTTGACTTTGATTGCCTCAGCAACGGATGAAGCATCGCCATCACTGATCTGACTCCAACACAAATTCAAATTGGTTATAGTTTTGTTAACTTTGATTGCCTCAGAGAGGATGCAGTCAGTTCATTACCTAGTGGCTGACAATTGAAATCGAAAAACGTTTTGGTCATATTATATCCAAAACTTCTTGCTAACTGCAAGTGAAAATCATCTTTCTTTCCTTTGCACTCATTAATGGCTTCTAGTACAACTGCCACAGCCCAACTGTTGTCATCGTCTAGATTGTCAACCCGGTCTCCAATACTCGAGACAAGAGCCATAGTCTGTTGATCGGACTGTTCTGCTAAAATACCGCATGAAAACAATAGCACCTGCTTTAGGCTGCTGAAATATCTTACATCGGAAACTAATATTTCAGGTGTTATTTGTTTATCTTGAATCTCACAACAGATATAGAATGCTGCAAAGCATTCTTCAAAGCTTTTGTGTAGAAATGCATAACGCAGACTCGGCCTTAGTTTACTACCTCCGGGATGAACTGACAGAAATCCGAATGCAGCCAGGTCACTTGCATTCTCTCCTAGTTCATTCTCCTCAAAATCTAACTTGTCATCATTCAATCCCTTTAGTGCTATCAATCCAAAGGTTTTCAACTGCGATTTGTAATGATTTGTAAGCTCTTATTTCGTATCAAGAAGTTCACTCTTCTTCCTGTATCTCCTCAACACACATTCAATCATATTTAGATAGAGCTTACTTCTACTTTCCGGGAGGGTGCCTCCGAATTCCTCACACAAAAGGGAAAGCAGTGCCGTGTTCAATGGACTAGCACACATTTCTCGAAGATTGTTATCGCGGGATATTCGCACCGAGAGCTTTTCAGCTAATTCCGACTTTTCCTTGAAGTACTTACCGATGAATTCTCTGGCTTGAGCTTCAGTAAATCCTTCCACCTCAAGCAAGGTGTCACAGCATTTTCTTAGCTTTACTCCAGCTTCGTGTCGTGCATTTGCTACTATGTAGCACTTCGAAAGCAGTCTTCCCGCAATTACATCTAAAATCCATGGCACTTTACAGGAGGGTAACTCATCCAGTCCATCTAATATCAATAAAATGCAGGACTGGTTGTCACGAATAAACTGGAGGAATTGCTCTTTGACTCCTTTCTCCAGATCTTGAGGCAGAAGTTGATCATCAATGGCTTCCCAAATATCGGACCTAATATCACGACATTTAAGGAGCAGCACTGCTTTGATACTTGGGATGCAACCCTGAGGGCTCTCTTTTTTTTGTGGCTCATTCATAAACATACCTTTCACAGTAAGTTGTTTTACCAATACCAGGTTTTCCTTCGATCAGAACGGTTCTCGGCTCTGAACACTCTTCGTGCGGATTTAAAAGAGACGACATGGTAATGGTTTTGTCAGTGACGTCTCCTCTCGTTTTCTTTCTTCTGACAACTTTGAGCCTTGTAAAAGTATCACCCACAAAAAACTGAAACTCTTCACACCATGGAAACGGTGAAAGCCATCCCTCGCGAGTTTTGCACAGTTGACGAATTCCATCGATTATCTCAATTGGATCAAAAACGCCTAAATTAAATCAAAGGGATACTGGGTGAAACTGGTGGATCTACTAAATAAAATTAGAATATAATACAATGGTAGTAAAAGCCAACGATCCTATATTCAAAATGACAGGGTTAAATTAGAATAAACCAAAAGATCATTTTTTTATAAAGGGGCCGATATATTTAATGAATATCTATGAATCTAGTTCTAGTCTTCCAATCTCTTTTCATATATAGGTTCTTAGATTGTGTATACGGCTTCTGTGATTTTTAAACACTTTTTTTTTCCGCAGGACCCATGTTGATAACAGTTTTTTATAACTAAATTGGCCATCCTGCATAAATAGGTTATTATTATCATTATTATTATTATTATTATTATTATGAATACGGAAACTGTGCACTAAATCTGTCCAATATTTACCCAAGCTGTTGATCAATGGAGTTCTAATTCCCTGCGTGGAAATGGGTGAATCATTTCGTTACTTAGGTCGCTTCTTTGACTTCAACATGTCTAATAACCAACGCAAATCTGAATTGTCTTCTCTTGCACAAATCTTGATGAATGACATCGATATAAAGCCACTGCATCCTAAACACAAACTTCTTCTGTACAGCCGCTATGTCCTATCGAAGTTGTCATGGCATTTCACCATAGCAAATATATCCAAAACCTGGATAACGCAACATCTCGACTCTGTAGTGAAAGGTGCCCCTTGCACAGACTTCATCATTATATCAAATACCTCTTGAGGGAGGTCACGCTTTACCTCTATGGTCCAGGGATTTGAAGCTTTGGGTTTGCGGACATTCGCCTCCCTATCCTATTTAGCCACATCAGAACTTCTGATGAGATCATGGGCCAGGCTGGGATGGAAGACATTAGAGCCCTATCCATACCATGGACTCCATTTTTGTGTAGACATTCATTAATGACTGACAAACTGCCTCCTTAAAATCCAAAAAATATGGAATGGAAGGCCGTAGAACATTAAATTCACTTATCGACCTCTCCAAAACATCCGCAAAACTAACTTCCGAGCCTTCGCCTTCCACGATTTCCACACTTTCCACAGAAACTTGTTCATTAATATTTGCTCATGGGAAAAGCATTCTCTCCTGGCCGCCATTTTGTTTTGGGAATGTCCACTGATTTGACCGCAGTAGCCAAATGGGGACTTTTTCGAGACAGCTGACCTGGCGTGAATTTCAAGACGGTTTCCACTGTTGTCTACAGTCAAGTTATATTTTAATGACCCTCCAAGGGCTATTGCCTTGTAATTCAACAGATTACTTTGCTATAGGGAAAAGTGTGCTTTCACAAAGGTACAAGCAAGAAACCATTGTGGGCCAACACAAAATATTGCAACTGTAAAAGATGTCTCTTGCAGGATGATGTTATTCACTGAATAACAATTAAGGCATACTCGGAGAAAAAGAACTTCAGTGCTCCCAAGTTTCTTGTTCCAATCAGTGCACTTAATTCATTCTGAGACATATGTTACATTTTCTTAATACACTCTGTAGTGCTATGTACCTTAATTGAGGGCCAGGAACAAGCTATAACCAAATTCACCAAAAAATGTACCAGATCACAGTGGAAATGCACAAAAAAGCTAAAGGCTAAAAGTTTCTAAAGAAACTGTGGTGCTGTGTCAGTGGGGGTAACAAGGTAATTTGGTTATATTAACTCAGTTCAGAGAAAATCCTGAAGCACACTTTTGACATGTTGACATATTCAAAGTTTTTCAACAGTGCATGACACAGTTGGAAAAACAATTCTTGCACGCTTTCCTCTTATTTTTTTTTCTTTCTCTGCTGGTTGCTTAAGTATTTGGAGGCCCACTTTTTTTTCTAACTGAGAGTCTGGCACAAATTGAGATTACCAGCTTCACATGTAATGCGAGGGTAAAGTTATCAAAACAATTTATAAATACTGTATTTGGTGAGAAATATTTTTTAATAATTAATTTTTTACTCCAAGATCCCATTCTGTTTACTGTCTGCTTTACAATTTTCAAGATGTTAGTTTGGAGAATTTGGTATTGGATCACCTATAATCCCCTAAGTGATATGTTTCTTTACTATCCTCACCTGTCTGTTTATACTATATTGATGTTGCAAAGAGAAATTCTGTTGTGGTCAGTTAGGGGAGATAAAGGGGTTCACAACTATGTACAAAGTCACATTACTGTGCAATTGCATCTACTTTTATGTTGATTTAAATTGCCGGGTAGTTTGATTATGCCTATGTCAATAATCAAGAACCGAGAAGAAAAGTTGGTTGATCTTGTTTCAATACCAAACTCCAATAAATGATTTCCATTTTGTTCCATTAATTCTCTCCTCCAGCTGTTACACATTTCCTTGTGAATCAGTCATGAGGTTTTGATGTTGGATCAAGAAAATAACCTCTAACTATTTTAATTATAATAGTTTAAATCAAAGTAAAAGAAAATAAAACGTTTAAGTTGAAAGTTTGAGAAATCTCATTACATGTTTGCTGAATAATGTATGGATACTGATTAAAAGGGAAACTTCCATATTCATCACTTCTGGGAGTTTAAGAACTAGTACAATGCAAATCAGTAATCAAACTCATCATTCAGGGGTCGTTGAATAGCTTCGTTGGATTAATTTCTTTTNCGCAAAACAACTCGTTTTCCTGTTGAAGGATCCGTTTCCAAGCGATTAAGACAGTCTGCTGTGTCTGCACAAAAACACAAGATCACAGAGGTTTTAGCCCGGAAATACCTCTGTTAAGTTGGGTTTCAGTGATAAGTAATCTACCATATATTTCGAGCTCTCGGAGCGCAAATGTAACGACGAATCGTAGTGTGAAGCGTGCATGCACGGAAATGCCTATCAGTTTATCGTGCTCGGTATGATCGCGTGATATTTTGCTCATGTTAATAACTTTGATAAGGCGTACGAATGTGGCCACAGTGGACAAGGAATCTTTGCTGCGATCATCCTCTTAACACACTCACCTTTGTCACCTTCATCGTGTTCTAAGCCGAATCGGTCCTTGCTGTCAGCTTTTCCTTTAACACTAATTGAGACGCTAAGACGTGAGGGAAGTTGAGCAGGAAAGGGTTTCGAATGGTACAGCAAAGCACCCTGGGCCAGATCACGCGGAGTACATACTTGTCCCATCTCATGTTCCTCTCACGCTATGCCGTCCAGACATTGGCTTACTTCCAGATCGAGAAGACGCGAGTCTACGTTCGTCAGACTGAAAAGGAAAAGAAAAGAAACTTCATTAATTAGAGTGTTGAGAGCTTCTAGAGGCAAACATACGGAAAAAAACAAAACAAAATAAAGCAAAATGAAACGAAACAATAAACGCGCGCAAATGAAGAAGTACACTCACGCTCGCTGTCCTCCCGCTTTTTCTTCTTCCTACGAGTGACCAAAGAAGTCGCCCTCCACTTTTACTTTGAAAGCCGAATACATATAATTCATCAAAGAATATCGTCCTAGCTCTCGCCGGTATACCATCTTGCGCCGTCGTAGAGCCGCAGTTTGAACAAAAAATTGTTGGAACACCATTTCACAATTTTCGCTGTCACTTAGGGAAAGCAATTGAAGAGACTATTGTTGTCCTTATTTAAGAAAAGAAATAAAAGTATGTATTTTGCGAAATTAATATATGAAATTTGCAATTGAGCAAATTCCACCGGCCAAAGGGATGAATCGGTCAGCTCACCACAGTACAATTGTGGACTGCATACACAACGTAGCAAATTAGAGCTATAATTAGTAACGCTCCAACTAACCAAAACTTTTCTTCTGATCTCAAAATTCACGCGCCCAGATCTGACGTGTAACATATATAAATACGGTGGAAAAGGAAAAAAACCTTGGAGAAAAATGTTCCTTGCTGAAATAGAGGTGTATGTACGCGGTGATCAGATTGTTATACAATGAGGCTATTCCAAAGGGTGGGGCACACTGTTGGGGCAGGATTGATTCTAGGCTTGATTTCATAGCAGTAAAGTTATACTGGTTGAATAGAATGACCATTGAAAACGAAACTTTGTAAAAGAAAAGAGAGAGATAGTTTTATTGTTATTGAATAACGAAACATACTCTGAACTCTGCTTTTACTGAACGCAAGATTGATTAAAGAGCGGGAAAAATGGACGAAGAAAGTCAGAACACGTAATTATTCATTGCTTGTAAACGACGCATACGTGTATGCTGTCACGTGTCAAGTCTCACAAATGAGATACAGTTCACGTCTCGAAAACGACCTTTAACATTCACAACTCGTACACATCAAACGATCCGACATAAAATCGTTCACGGTACCCTTTAACTCTCACGATATATTTTCAGTCCCACTGATGACATATATTTTGTGACTCGACTATCACGCTTTAAAATTCCTGTTGCATGATTTTACTGTGCAGAGCGCGCGTAATTTTGGCAAGCGAGTGCTCAGTATTTTCTGAGTATTTTCTTGGCCGTCATCTCTGATCCTAATGAAAGGGGAAGCTGGGTAGGAAAGAGATTTGTACCTAGGGGGTGAGCGACAGTGAAAAAATAAGGAACGTGCGAGGGTGGGAAAGTGAATGTCACCACTTTCCTCCCCCACTCCCTCCCCCTACCGTCGACTCCAAATTTAACTTAGCCGGTTGAAAAAACGATCGCGCGCGTCTTAACGTGAACTCGCTTGTACTGCAGGCTATGTTCATTTAGGAGTATTGGACAACACTCCTTCAATTCGTTTTTAGTTGTTACCTGTTAATGAAAATTGTTTCCCACTTTACTAATATGGTCACTTTAGATGTGTACGTGATAGAGTTTGCTCGAGCTGTCAGTGAAATCATGCGAGAAGTTAAATATATATAGTAGTTAAACCTAAATTGTTTGTGAACCGCTCAATTCTGGTCTGTTTTCGACCATAGCAATCTCAGCCTGAGATTGTACTGTACCACTTGTTTGTGCTTAACCTTTGGACCCTGAACAACGACAAGCATCGAATTTCTCCTCACTGCGGCAGCCCGATCTGAATCACACATAAAGGTCACGAGAATAAAAAAATGATCATCAACTATAGCTCTTAATTGTTAAAAAAATTTTCCTTGTCAGCAGCTAAAGAAATTTATAGACAAGAGTATGAGAAAATGCATACTAATGTGTAGCGACTCCCTTTCAATGGGGAAAGGGGTGCGAGAAAACCATGTTGAAGAAACCATATGTCTAACAAAATCCAACTTGTAAGGTCCTTTTATTGGAGATTCCAAAGTAAGTGTTATCTAAACTTAGGACCGTGCTGGACCTGAAACTCGGGATTCTGAACGAAAATTCTTCCTTCAAGTAAAATTATACGCTTCAAAGCACTCTAAAACATTTTGCTCCACAAGGACCTCAAAAAAGGTCCCGTATGTGGTCGATAGCATCAGGTGATGCGTAGCGCAAACTGAACGACGGGAATGGCGTTACACTTAGGAAGTAAAACAGGGTTGCCACTCATTAGAACCCAAAAAATTCCCTGACTTTTTCACTGACCTCAAAACATTTTTCACTGACCTTCGATTAAACTAATTATCAAATTATCGAAAGTGCGGCGCACGAAATGTTATTAGCCCAGAGTGAAGCGGGCTTTGATGGTTTGTTTTATTTCCTTGGGGTGCACAACTCGAAAATAAAATGGCTTTAAGGCTAAAGACATGCAAGGAACGATTTACGAAATTTCTCGAAATAACATACTTCTATTGTTCTATGATACATTTCTCCATCACTTTTAAGCTTTCTACACTTGATCTACACTCGATTGACTACTTCATAAACCTTTGTGGAACCCTCAAAACAAAATTCCCTGACTTTTCACTGACTTTGACAAAAACTAAGATTTTCCCTGACTTTTTGCAAAATTCCCTGACTTTTCCCTGACCTTGAAAAATTTTTGTTTTTCCCTGACTTTTCCCTGACCATGGCAACCCTGTAAAAGGGTCCAAGGTTAATGAGGAAAAGAGCTATTTTAAAATTTCAGAGTCAGTTAAGTTTTTTAATTCTATTAATTGCATAAAGAATTCACAAAGGTTTAACCCGGGTGGCTTTCCAAAAAAAAGGCAGCTTTCTTCACTGTGTTTTCTTCGAAAGGGGAATTAGCAAGGGGCAGCTTAACTGGAAGGTGAGCATTTTTCGAGTTTCGACATCATTTCCTCTGCTTTCTTCGTACTCACATTACCTCTTACCTGGTCTCCCTACTCCAGAAGTTCTAAATAAGACGTTTCAGTTTTAGAGACCAGTCATAATCCACTGCCTGGGGGAAAGAGATTGGATGATTCTTTATTATCTATTTTTAGAGGGAGGGAGGGAGGATGTGAATCAATGGCTTTCAGGGGAACAGAGAGGAGTTAGTCGTCGCCAACAAAGTAAAAAGGGGGAATGTTTTGGAAAATTAAATGCCATCTAACTGCCAAGGAGGGGGATCAAAAGAATATTACTGGCTTTTATAGAGGGAACAGTTCAAATTTATCGAGACCAAAATCCTCGAAGATTTCCTCCCTCCCCCCTCTCTTGGGCGATAAATAATGACGGGCTCCTCAATAAAAAACGCCAAGGTCGACACTATCAATCGCTCCCCAGACCTCCTGCGAACGAACGGTCACAGCAACTTCTATGATCATCATAAGTTTTACTGTCCCAGTTTCTTTGTTCTTATTTCTTTCGTAGCTGGATACTTTGAATTCCAAGAAATACCACGGAATTTTTCATTTTAAGTGAAGTTTTCAAAACAAGGGTACAGTACTACTATCAGTGCGCGCAAAAAAAAAATCAGAGAAAAGGCATATTCTGTTCAAAAGCACACAATTTTCGCTCAAAAATAATCTTGCAATTGTAGGCCACAATTAATGACCTGGTTAAGCAATCATTACTTCAAAATGTTTTGGGACAGTTTTAGATTGATTTTTTCGTACGTTTGCAAACACGCTCGCATAGAGGCGAGTATGGAATTTTCCCGGGCTCATACAATAATCGCTCCCTTCTTAAAAAAGTCAAGTAAGATAAAAAAGACACCAAACTTTATTCAAACAGGTGAAAAGTTGGCCGTCATGAGCGAACCATGTTTGAAATTCGCGTGTGTACGAAGTCGAGCTATATATTTTATCAGGCTTCGAGCGTATTCTAATCTGTTCTAGAACCAGAGAATTATTCTTCAGCTTTGCGAAGGTAAGTCAATCAATACCTAGTATATTGACCACGAGAACTGTTGAAGATGGTAATAATTTACCGTCTCTTATTGGTCCTACTGCATCTAAATAGCTTAGTTTATTCCTCTTCGTTTTTAGTGGAACGTAGGTCCTCAACTAGAGCGCGTCACCTATCTGTACTTTGTGCAGTGCCCTTCGCCTCATGCCGGCCACGTGATGTGTTTCCTCTCTAACTCTGCAATTCTCGTACGTCGCCAGGTCTGCTGGGGTCTTCCTCTCTTTCGTTTCCCCCGTGGGTTCCACTCCAGTGCCTTCTTGACTACATGTCCATCTGGTCATCTCAACGTGTGGCCGATCCAGCCCAAGCTCTTTGTCTTATCTCTTACTATATCAGATGCTGCCCTGTTTGTCTCCAAAGCTCCTTGTTGCTGATTTTTCTAGGTCACTAAATTCCCAGGATGTTCCTCAAGCTCTTAGCGATGAACACTTGCAACTTCTGCTGCAAAATCTTAGTCAGCCTCCAAGTTTCAGAACCATAGAAGAGCACCGCCTTTACATTTCACCCAAAGACTCTCAGCTTGGTCTTGGTTGTTGATGCTGTGGATCGCCATATTGGCCTTAGCATCGCAAATGCCTGTCTTGCCTTCCTAATTCGCCCCTGAATGCCCTCGTCCGTGCCTCTCTTCTTGCTTACAATGCCCCCGAGGTATGTAAACTCATCCACTTCTCAATCTCAATCAACCGACACGCCATCGCCACGTTTGGTACCAACATCCATTAACTTTGTCTTGATGGCATTAATCTTCAGGCCGACCTTCGCACCATATAGCTCCAAGGCCTGTATCCTCTCCCTCATATCCTATATTCTGAGCGACAGTGGGGCCAGATCATCGGCAAAGTCTAGGTCTTCTAAGGATGTCGTAAAGGTCCACTCAATACCTCTCTTCCTGTCAAAGGCTGTCCTCGTCACCCACTCCAGGGCGACCAGGAGAGATAGCAGGCTCGTCTCATCCCCGTCCTCGTATTCAATGGTTGGATCCTCTGTCCATTGTGTACCACCTGCGCGGAAAAACCTTCACAGAGAGCTCTGATGACGATGACCACCTTGGCACGCATCCCGTAGTGCCGCAACAACCTCCACAAAACCTCTCTGCTGATACTATCGAAGGCTGTTTCGAAATCTATAAAGTTGACATAAAAGAAAGACTACCACTCGATGCTTTGCTCCAAAAATATCCGCAGCGTTGCTATTTGATCCGTACAGCTTCGGCCGGCTCGGAAGCCTGCCTGTTCCTCACATCAGATTTTCATCCAGCGCGATCTTGATGCGCTCCAGGATCACTCTGCAAAACAACGTACTTGTCATGTTCAGCAACAAAATGCCACGCCAGTTTTTACAGTAGCTCAGATCACCTTTCTTGGGCAGTTTGACTGGCAGATCCTTCTTCCACTCCTCTGGTATCTTCTCGTTATCTATATCCTGTTGCATAGGTCCAAAAGAACCTCCTCTGACGGTTCCCCTCCCACATGAATTGCCTTAGGTGGTCTATTGTCACATCKTGCAGCCTTCCCGTTTTTTAACTACTTATTAGCATTCTTGATTTCAATCCGTGAGATGCGAACTGTCCTGTTGTTGAGCTCGTCATTTGGCTCTACCTCTGGCAGGTTAACGGACCCCTCTCGGTTAAGGACTGTTTGAAAGTGCTCCCTCCAGCGGTGCAACTCCTCCTCTGCTGACCTGTGCAACACGCCTGCCTCGTTTCTCACTGGCTTACATGTACTCTGGAACCTCCCGCTTAACTTTCTAGTGATCTCGTACAAGGTCCTTACATCACTTCTCTTTCCAGCCTCCTTACCTCTCTCAGCTTCTGATTCCACATACACCCTCCTGTCCCTCCTGCACCTCTTCTTCACCTCCCTATTGAGCTCTGGGTACCTTTTGTGTACATCTCTCTTCTGCTGTTTTGTTCTGGCCATGTTTGTGATGTTTTTTGCCACCTTTCCCTGCTCAATTATCTCCCAACTCTCTTTGCTGATCCACTCTTTCCTGTTCACCTTTGCCCTACCCAGCACCTGCTTACAGGTCTCCACGTAACCTTGTTTGATTAGCCTTCATTGACGATCCACTGGCAGCTCCTACTCCCCCATCACCTGCTGCAGACCCTCAAATCCATTGTGCAGCTCTAGCTTGAATCCGTTCCTAACCTCCAAGTCTTTCAGCTTGCTGACCTCAAAACGCATTCGGCCACTTTCCCCTTTTCTCACTTTGACAATCCTTAGCCCGACTTTTGCCATGAACAGAAGGTGGTCTGACCCAACGTCTGCCCCATGCAAAACGCGAACGTTTTACAGTGAACTCCTCAATCTCCTGCTAAAACCTAGGTGGTTGATCTGGTTCACAATAACACAGTCAGGAGATCTCTATGTCCGGTTGTGACGCTCCTTATGGGGGAACGGCGTTGCACTGATGACCACCTCGTTTGCCTCACAAAAGTCCGCCCACCTCTCACTATTTTCATTCATCTCAGCTCTTGTCCCATGTTTACCCATCACCTCCTCTCTGCCTAGGTTCTCGCCTCAGGATTACTTCCCTTCCAGATCGAGCACCAGCATCACTAATATGAATCAGTACCAAGTCAAACAAGATAGGAGTCTCGTTAACTCTGAATGCCTTCTCTATAGATGTAGCAGCGGCTTCACTAATCTGATTGCATTCTAAAAGCAAAAAGGCCACAGTCTTGTTGACTTTGATTGCCTCAGCAATAGATGTAGCACAGGCATCACTAATCTGACTCACAGACAAGTCTAAATTAGTCAGATTCTTGTTGACTACGAGTGCCTCAGCAATTGATGTGACACCAGCATCAATAATCTGATTGTCAGACAAACTCAAATGGGTCAGAGTCTCATTAGCTTTGATTGCCTCAGCAAAAGATGTAGCAGCGGCATCACCAATCTGATTGCGAGACAAATCCAAATTGGTCAGAGTCACATTAGCTTTGATTGCCTCAGCAATAGATGTAGCACTGGCATCACTAATCCGATTGAGAGACAAATTCAAATTGGTCAGAGGCTTGTTGACTTTGATAGCTTTAGCAATTGATGTAGCACCAACATCACTTATCCCATTGCCAGACAAATTCAAATTGGTCAGAGTCTCGTTTACTTTAATTGACTCAGCAATAGCTGTTACACCAGCAACACTTATCTCATTGTGAGACAAATTCAAATAAGTCAGAGTCTCGTTGACATTGATTGCCTCAGCAATTGATGTAGCACCGGCATCACTAATCCGATTGAGAGACAAATTCAAATTAGTCACAGTCTCGTTGACTTTGATAGCTTTAGCAATGGATGTAGCACCAACATCACTTATCCCATTGCCAGACAAATTCAAATTGGTCAGAGTCTCGTTTACTTTAATTGACTCAGCAATAGCTGTTGCACCAGCAACACTTATCTCATTGTCATACAAATGCAAAGTAGTCAGAGTCTCGTTGACTTTGATTGCCTCAGCAATAGCTGTAGCACCGGCAACACTAATCTGATTGCAATACAAAGCTAATCTGGTCAGAGTCTTGTTGACTTTCATTGCCTCAGCAATTGATGTAGCATCAGCATCACTTATCTGACTGTCAGTAAAATTCAAATAGCTCACAGTCTTGTTGACTTTAAGTGCCTCAGAGAGGAGTAGTGTCAATTTGTTATCTTGGTGATGAAGATGAACTAATTCTCTAGTCATATTTGATCCAAACGATCTTGCTAACTGCAGGTGAAAATCATCTCTCTGTCTTTTGCATTCATTAATGGCTGCCAGTACAGTTGCCACAGGCCTCTGCGATTCATCGTCTAGATGGTCAACCCGGTCTCCAATACTCGAGACAAAAGCCATAGCCAGTTGATCGGACTCTCCTGCTAAAATACCGCACGAAAACAATAGCACCTGCTTTAGGTAACTGAAATATCTGCTGTCGGAAACTAATATTTCAGGTGTTATTTGTTTATCTTGAATCTCACAACTGATATAAAATGCTGCAAAGCATTCTTGAAAGCTTTTGTGTAGAAATGCATAATGCTGACTCGGCCTCAGCTTACTACGTCCAGGATGAACTGACAGAAATCCGAATGCAGCCAAGTCACTTGCATGCTTTCCTAATTCATTCTCATCAAAATCCAACNACTGGTCAAGCAAGGTGTCGCAGCATTTTCTTAGCTTTACTCCAGCTTCGTGTCGTGCTGTCGCTACTATGTTACACTTGGGAAGCAGTCTTCCCGCTATCAGTTCTGAAATTCGTGATACTTCACTAGAGGGTAACTCATCCACTCCATCTAATATCAATAAAATGCTGGACTGGTTGTCACGAATAAACTGGAAGAATTGCTCTTTGACTCCTTCCTCTAGATCTTGAGGCAGAAGTTGATCATCGATGGCTTCCCAAATATCGGACTTCATATCACGACATTTAAGAAGCAACACTGCTTTCATACGTGCGACGCAATCCTGGAAGTTTTGCTTTCTTGTAGCCCAGTCGAAAACGCACTTTTGACAGTAAGTAGTTTTACCAATACCAGGTTTTCCTTCGATTAGAACGGTTCTCGGCTCTGAACACTCTTCGTGCGGATTCAAGAGAGACGACATGGTAATGATTTTGTCAGTGACATCTCCTCTCGTTTTCTTTCTTCTGACGAGTTTGAGCCTTGTAAAAATATCACCCACATTAAACTGAAACTCTTCACACCATGGAAACGGTGAAAGCCATCCCTCGCGAGTTTTGTACAATTGGCGAATTCCATCGATTAGCCCAGTTGGATCGTAAACATCTAAAAAGAATTAAAAAGATACTGTGCTAAACTCATGGATCCACTCCGCTAAAATTCAGAATATACAGTAACGTAGTAAGAGTAAACGATCCTATGATTCCAGTCCTACCAGTTATAAAGATTAAAGGATGCCGTGTAGCATAACTGAAGACAGCAAGCGAGTTGTGAAAATATTTTTTTGAAGTACTGTGCTGTCTAATTTATTAATTTTAGAGTTTCAGGAAATGTATAACAAAGGAAGTTTGTTTGCAGTGAACGGGCTCCTTCGTTCCTATCTGTTATTTACCGGTCGTAAAAAGTTATTTTCTGACATATGCAGTTTTATGGTGGTTTAAAATCAAGTCGTTTAGAAGTGGAACAATACCCTCAATCTCTTCATCGCTCTAGGCTACTCGAGACCACTTGCCCGTGCAAACATTAATGAAAAACAATCTAATTTTACACCCTGAATTACAAGTATAATTTCACTAACGTCTTATCGTGCTCCTGAAATGAAGTGAAGTCAAGAGAAAACCTTTCTTCATTAAGCTAAAAACATAAAGCCGTTCACGGGACTTAAATGTAGTGTACGACAATACTGTTTTCTTTGACAATATTACTGACCAGCCCCTAGTTGGTCTGTCACTGTTTTCCCAAGTAGACTACTGGAGGGAAAAACCTGCCAAATGGGTGTAAAAATATAGCCAAAACAGATACGCGAAATCAACCTAATAAAAAGATTAAATCAAATGAAATCTTTAAAACTTCAAAACTGGTATATTAATTGCCAGATATGGTCTAATATGTGCAACAAATCACCATATGGCAGCCACAGAGATACGCAAAAGTGAACTTGAAGTCAGGAATTGAGATCGCTCACGTCAAGGGACAAAACATTTCCAAAATATTTCCTTGCCTTAATCAAGAATGGAACAAAAAGAAGGAAAAACCACCTTGATGATTGTAGCGTACGGTCTGACAAAATAGTTCCGTATGGATTGTTGGTCTGTTCTCATCGTCGATTTATAGACTTTGAAGCCCTCCAAGTGTTTCAATTCTACGGTCTACACGGGTGCATTTGATCAAGGATAGAGTAAAAACAAGGAAAAACCCAGCCAGATCATTCTGGCCTAACCCGACAGACACTATTTTGAATTGTGCTAAAAACTCCGTGTACTCTGGGAAAACTTCCTGCCATTTTATCACCCCTAAGATATTTGAGCGGGGGACAATAGCATGATAATAGGGGAGCCTCGCCATTCTCATCCCCAGCTTTCCGCATCTCCACCAATAGAACGCCTTGGAAGACAATGTAGATTTGGCAACCAAAAGAGTTAAAGAGTGGCGTACATTTTTAGACTTGAAGTAAGCTCGATTAATCAATACGCCAAAAGCCTAATTAAAGAAATGCAAATATGCAATGAAACTGATAGAGCGAGGCAGAAAGTCATCAAATGGTCGACAATTGTCTTGGGCTGGTACAAAATGTAGTAAAAAGAAAGGCTATGTAAGAGGAATGGTTAAAACCATATAGCGTCATTGTTGTCTCTTTCTCCTAGTTTTTGGCTGTACAATGCTGCACGAGAATAATTCAATGCGCGAGGTTTGAATGATGTAGGAGTCTTCGTCTTCAGCCATTAACTCGAGTTAGGTAAAATCTGTTCTCAGCTAAGGAAAAGTGAAATCTATTCACATGAGCTGTTCGTATTCTCTCAAAATATACATTTTTTTGCCCTGCGGGGACTGTGGAGGAATTCAAGGTCACCTTAAAAGACTTTAACAACCTTTTCTGGTTGTTATGTGAGCACAGTCTAGGCAGATAAGATAATATTATCCTTGGTAAATAGGCTTTTGTACATTATGCTAGCATTTTTTCGAGCATTTTAGTGAGGCAAAAGCAT